GGTTTACTTTTGATAAAATAGACACCTTCCGCCTTATAAAAATGTTTATGAGTGGGAACTATGCCTCCTTCTATAAAGTTATCTTTAGTAACAAAGTATAGGCTCTTTCATACAAACCAAGATCTTACCAGTATTTTTTGGCAGAATTTATATTTTACAGACCCAAAACATCTGATAATTGATTAATTCTTTAGATTTGATCCACAAAATTTGAAATCACCTCATACCACAGCACTACTACCTCATCCTAAAACAACTAAACTATAAAATTCATCTGAAGCTCCAACCCAGTGCTCCTATACACAGAGCACTTTCATGATATGACTTGTTAGTTGGTATAGTGGGAAGAGTCTAAAAGCAGCTTTTGATCCTCCAGTGCTCATCCAGCAACAGCTGTACAAAAGGCTGATTTATTAACTCTTCACAGATCTGGAAATACCATGAGAGAAGAAATGTTACTGTGCAGATCACTGTCATTACACATAGTTTTCTAAGGAGCTAAATATACCCAAAGTTAATTTTCAAGTTAGTTTATTCTTGTATATCAGTTTGTAGGGCATAGAATTTTAAATGGAGCAAATGTGTACTTGTTATGTCTTTACCCATTAAGAAATAAATTAATAAAATGTTGACTTTTGCAAAGTTTCAAATGCAACAAATATGTAAATGCTCACTTCAACACAATAAATAAAGAAACACTAGACACCACAACCCATTTCCATCACAGCTCTAGTCCCTGATTGGAAAGCACTTGGCTCCAAACAACTAATCAGTCCCTTTCAAATCAATGAGGCAAGTGTATATGAGTAAGTGTTTACAAAATTAGTGCCAAAGTTAAAAATAACCCAGCAAATGGCACCATTATAATAGAATGGATCCCTTTTTCATTTATTTTTTTTTAATGGTACTAATACCACTGACTTCACTGAAAAAAAAAATAATTCAACTCTAATAGCATATTAAGACACAGATCTTCAATTCACTTTAAGCAAACGTAAAAGACTGCAAATCTCTGTCCTGCATTTGGTGCTCTTCAGGCTTTTAATATTGTGAATGATAGAATAAAGTATTTATTTTTATGCAGGCAGTAGATGACACTAAATTGTAGATGCTACAACTGCCCACAGGGAAGCAATTCAAAACAGACAAGTAAAACAGAGAAATTGTCTGATACCAAGACAACATGAAATTAGCTGAAGCCCAGTACAAATTACTATACTAGAGAGGAAAAAGAAAATGCACAATACAGTGACTTTGTTTTAACATATGGTTTACAGGCTACAGCCTCTATCCATAATACTTTACTGCTGAGGGGGCAGCATTATTCCAGGAGGTATTACACAGGGTGCCATATACATGGCACATGACAAAAGTGTTCCACTTGTATGCAACTGATAGTTCCCCTGGTTACACTCATAAAGTCTCAGCTGGAGCACTCTGTTTAACATGGGAAATGAGACATCAGTAAAGATGTCTGTAAACTACATATGAGCTGGCACTAGTCCAAGGGAGAGCAACTGCAGTACCTCCAGGTGCTAGAAAATAAGACTTAGGAGGACAGACTAAGTTAAATCCTTTTTACTTTATTCTAGAAAAGAAAAAACAGCATAAGTAGGAGAATGCATGATAATAGTCATTAAATTGATTACTTCTCATACACAGAGAGAAACCATCATATTTCATTAATTTAGTTAGCAGAAATAAAGATTTAGGTCACCCTTGGGGGAAGTGGGAAGCAGTTTAGAGATGAGAACAGAAAACCTGCAGTTGGTTGCATAAGGATGCTGCAGAAATCACAATTACTAAGCATTTAAAAAACAGGTTAGCCAAACATTCACCAGATAACTCATATATATTTGATTCTAGAGCATCCAATTTACCTCTGAAGGTACCTTTCAGCTATACACAAGAAAAGTTTCACTCAGACATAATTTCCATAAGCAAATGAAAGTACCTTATAATTAGTAGAGCTTTTACATGCACTTTTTTAGTCTTAGCTGATGCTGAACACTGATCTAGTTCCTGTATTTCATTATCACATAAACAGTATAATAATTTCTAATTAATGACTGTGACATTATCCAGCCATTCATATACACTTGAGATCTAAAGGATAAATGGAGTGTAGATTGCTGACTATTGAAACTGAAAATATTCCTGAAATATTAAGCAACAAAGTATGACCCGTTTCACCACTAACATTTAACAACACCAGACAAAGCAGATGACACAGGCAAAGCTGTCTCCTTATATTCAATAAAGAAAAAGTGACACAATAAAGCAAGTCAGCCTTGAAATGCATGATCCCTGGGGCTCAGTTCCAGAACTGACCTCTGTACCTTCAGTTTGACAAAAGGAGTTCCACCAAAAACTACTTCTCTGTACCTGAAACACCCTCAATTACACAGACTTCATAAAAGAAAAACTTATTTTAACTCAAGGAGTCACTTTAGAAAGTATTAAATAATGCCTGTGCCTAGTAGCACATTATTTCCAAAGGCTCTTTTTTCTTCAAAATTACAGCACCCTGTCCTAGCCAAGCCATTATAACAGCAATAATGAATCTTTTGTTATTAAAAGCAAACCTAAAATACCATTCCTAACAGAATTTTGAGACTATGTAATCAGGTTAAAATTAGAAAATAAAAAGAAACATTTCCTCCAATTTGAATTACTTATTGAAACACTATAAACTTCAATTAGCTAATGATAGATGCTAGGCTAATTATCTAGCTTGGTGGTTCTTTGTGCTGTGTTTGTTCTGCCAAGGTTTCTCTGCTACTTGAGAAAAAACACAGAATGGAATTAGGAGGATACTCAGTATTTAATTTTACAATGTAATGTTTCAAGCAGTTTCATGCTTCATGTTACTTACTGTACATCTTTTAGATTTCACTTCTAACAGGGTATTTTGTTACATGTATTACAAGAATTCTGCTGAGGCATCCCTGTGTTTCACCAACACCAAAAAATCAAATCCCACAACACATTGTGAGTTCGGACACTAGCATGACTATTTCCACAGACATAGAACTAAAGTACAGAAAAGATAAAATAATGATTCTGAGGACAATTATTTGCATACCAAAGAGCAAGGACTGCTGCTGTTAGTCACAACAAAAGGATGAATAGCAGATTCTGTAACACTAGCTGAACATGTGCTTACAACTGTTACAAACCCAGAACCAACCACGGCAAGCTGGACAGCGAAAAATGAAGGCACACTGATGTTGAGCTGCAAGAAGTACAATGTAAGCACAAAATAGTTGCATTAACCATTTTCTTTTAATAAAACTACTAGAAAACTGTAAAATCTACCACACGTTTGATCCTTAAATCAATAAAAACCTCTGCTCCCTGACCGAAACAGTAACCTGCAAGAGTGATAGATTATCATCCTCGGCATTGGCCAGCTACTAGAATGCTTAGTAATTCTTAATGCTTAAATTTTTTTTAGGTATGAGACTTTTGACAAATGACCGAATTACAGATTCCTGGGTTCAGCAACAGGCAACACCATAAACACTATTTTACTCTCCAGCTTGATGCATGTTATTCCTTTCCCTTCAGTTCCTCCCAAGTCTCTTTCCTTCTGCACCCAGCTCGTATGTTGGTCTTCCCATGAAGAGCTGCCTTAGAGCTAGGGAGCAGCTTCTGGCAAAAAATTCTTGACTTCAAGTAAGGCCTTCCCCATTCTCTGCAAGTATTCCTGTCTGTGCTCTTCCTATCCTACTGTAGTGAATATATACATACATACCCACACCCTCCCACACACATCTATCTGCACATACACTCACACACAAACACACATGCACAGTAATGGTGTCATTAACAGGCTCAGATGTAAAAACCCTGGGTTTCAGAGCTCGTGCAGAAAACACATGATGTAAATCCATCTCAAGTGAATCTTCTGCAAAGTAAGCTAATTCCTACTTTAGGAATTAAGCCTTTCTTTCTGGATTGCAAATTTTAACAACACTACACAAATGTCTAGCTTTAGTCCCAGCATTGAAGACTGAAAAAATCTTTTGAGTTTGAAACTGTTTCTGGCTCATTTCTATAGTTTCTCTCTTTATGTTTAACTTGGGCTCTGTCTTCAAATTTGTGGTACCTAGGGATGAGTGGTAAAGGCAGTAAGAGGCAAGACAAGTCATCCTGTTCCATTGCCTAACTCAGCTTGATGCCACCCCAGAATACAAAGAGAAACAATAAAGACAAGTGAGGTAGCAAGGATCCCAAGTAGAGCAAAATCAGGGCTCAGTCACATACCAGCATGCCACAATTTAGAAGGAAGAGTGTTCTGTAATGCAGAATAACTGGATGAAAATGGTACCTCGCTACAGATGAGCTTGGGGCAACAGTTCTGCCAAAGTTCTGCATGCGTGAACAGAAAAAGGAATTTCCACAAGAGTTTTTAACCCAGTGAAATCTGAAGGGCTTCCACACACATGCCCAAAAGCTGGCCCTGACAAAATGTTACTAAGGTTCCTGCCATGTGCCAAGAGACAACTTATTCAAGGCATATCAGGACTATATCCCTCAAAAAATTACTATATGAAAATTTTACCCTAATCAAGACATAATATTCAGAAATATTTGGACCAGTTTTACTGCAGTGTTGCAAAATAATCATATGCCAAACATGGACAATTTCAACTATGCATGGTAAACTGGGGAACATTAGGAGCAATTGGGAAAATAGTCCCAGATTGGGAATTATCAGCAACCTTATTTATATACAGCCATTTTAAATATAGGCCTCTCTCCTAACAGAAAACTGGCTGTGATATTGCAGTTTTATTCTGAACTTAATATTTATTTTAAAAAAATTAAAAAAAAAAAAAAAAAAAAAACCAAACAAAAAAGCTCACGTAATCTAACAACATTCATACAGATAATTTTTGCTATAAAAACCACAGGAACAAGTACAGAAAAAACCCCCAATCACACAAATCATTTGAAAAACTGAATGCAAATGAGGCTAGCAGATAAGTAATTACCTGAAAAACAAAATCCCCAAACAGTAGTGATAACAGAGTATGTACAAATATACCTTGTCCTTGAGGAACTCCATAAAATTCAGCAGCTATCCTTGCTGCTTCCTTACGGTTTCCTTTCACAATGTAGAAATGACTAAGTATAGCAAGGCTGATCTTCACAAAAAGCTTAAAACAAAAAAGTGAAAGTATAGTAAAGTAGACATTGGATAACTGCTGTGCAAAAGGGCGACTTTCTTCTATGACAGTCATTGCTGCAGCAAAATCTCTGTCAGTGTTTGGGTCGGGCTCTCAAATGTGTTGATAAGATCATATGGCTCCAGCCATGCACTCTTGGGAACAACTGGTCCCGAGGAAAGAAAATATCAGCTGGTCATGATGCCTGCTGCTCAAAATATGACGATTATTTATACTGTACATAGTACTGAGTTCACTACCACTCTTGCTAGCCCGGTGATATTCATGTGGGACAGCAGGTTCCAAGATCCTGGATTGCACTTGTTCCACTTAAAAGGTCTGTTGCATTTCTAATTAATTTATTTACATGTTTAAAATACATTTTCAAAAGTATTATTATAAACCCCTGAAATTCATGTACGAAACCACATAACTCAGATAATCTGTTTTTTCTAAAATATGTTCTGCTGCTTAAGTACAATTGCTCTTTTCTGATATTTCATTTTATGTCAGACTAATATTCTTTCCTTAAAAAAACAGAATCATATCAGTAAATAATTGAAGTACACATTAATAAATAAAGAGATTTAATATATACCAGCTTTGACAGTGTCATTTTGCTCAGGCTGAATGAAAGTATCTAGTATGCAAAGACTTCAGCACTATACAAAAAACAGTATTCAGAGTAGGTAATATGAATCAAACATCTAGGTATTTTTATGCATAAGACCTGGAGCACCTAAAATTAAATTAATTAAAATGCAATGGTAAAATTTCAACACAGAAAATTTCTAATAGTTATGATATGTATTTCATTGGGCTGCATCATATGACATGATAGGCTTTATTTGTTGGCCAGTTTTAGAGAGGGGAATCTAAATTCCTCCAATTTTTTAAGAATTAATTTGCTTTTATACCATAAAGCTATTACTCACAGTCATCAGCAGTCACTCACAAGTTGTTCCATTAGTGTGAGTAATTGCTCAGTAAATTGCTGACTTGCAACATGATACAAACTGAGGAGCTGCATGACAGAACCAGATTTCCAAGTGAACTATAATCCTAAAGTAAAGAATCATGGCAGCAAAGAAAGGGTCCTACTCTAAACTTTTATACTTCCTCCTAAATTAAAAAAACAGTGTCTTGAATTATAACTTAAAATGCTCTACCCAAAGTAATCCTAAACCCTCCTATTCTACCCTGGCTTCTCATTTGGTGATTAGAAAAAAATAAAAACATTTTAGAATGTTGGCAGCTGTCCATCAGGATAAAAGGGTATGATCCAAATGTCACGGCATCCATAGATCACCCTGACTTCAATGAACAGAATAGCAGATATTAAGCACTATAATACAAAACCGTATTTCTGAAAGGAAAGTGGAAACAATAAGGCACCTCTTATCTGACTCTCTGAGTAATATATTAGAGTAAGAAGCAATCATGTTTTCTGGAAACTAAATTCAAACAAACCTATACAAAATGAAGAAAAGACAATGATAAGTGGAAATGTTCTTGGAAATAAATATTAAAATTTTTAACAGACAGGTAGTGAATTATGCTTATCTTGAGAAAAACAGGCAATAGGTATTTTTCTTTGAAAAAAATTTAATCCACTTAAAAGTCAATCATAACTAGAAAAGGCAATTAAAAAGGAGTTTACACTGTATACTATATTAATTAGTAAAAAAAATATGCAATTTTTTACCAAATTTCATTTATAGACATTTTCTCATCCAGCCAGAATAGGAACTGCTTTCCTCATACCATTCTTAGAAGCAGGAATGAGTACTTAAAATGCCAAATGAAAATCCCTTTTTATATTTGGCACATTGTTATCTGACACTGAATTGAGGTGTCATGTTTTCCACAAGTATAAAAGGCATTATGTTCTGAGCTACCACTGCCAAGTTCTGTTTCAATCATTAATAGAAATGGTATTTTCCTTAGTAACACACCCAATATTGGAATTTCTTACTTCTTCCATATTTGTACTAGTATTACTAAGCTTAACTTGATCAGTCCACTGAATTCCCCAGCCATCTTATGGACCTGTTTCACAGATTTACCATGCAGTACAAGCAAAAGCCATAATTGTGTTACAGAAAGCTTTTTCTTCCTTACAATGTTTTACCTGACCCTTTTTCCCTTTTTTCATGTTGTGCCATCTAGTACCTGCTTTCTCATCTGGACTTCTCCCACATTTTGTTAATGAACAAAATAATCTCTTTTTTTAGAGGCAAAACTCCAAATAACAATTACCATAAATAACAGCAGGAGTTAACAATGTTCACAATTAATCTTCCACTTACAATACTGTTTCTGCTGCTTCTTATAACTGCAGTAAGATAAATCACAAAATAAATTTCCCAGTTGTTAGATAGTTTTCTTCAAGTTAATTTTCTCTCTTTACGTTCAAAAAATTAAATTAAAAACTACAATAATAAGGCTAATATGCATTCAGTATTTTGTAAGTGACGTTTCAAATAACCTCACGGATTTGTAAAGCTTTTAGGAACAAGATGAAAATTGAACAGGGAAGTTACTCCTGTATCAAAACATGCCTTGTGTACTTTCAAAAATTTCCCTCATCAGTATTAAACTACGTAAGGAAGAAACACTACATGAATTCATGAGTTTTGAGAATTCCAGCTCACACATACTCATCAGAAGCTGGCAAAATTAGTCTTATAATACTTCTTCTTTTTTTAGAGCTCTGTAACTCTTACGTGCCAGCTTAGCTGGAAACTCTCCCAGCTGCACAGAACCAAGTCTATCCTAATCTAAACGTTCTAAAGTGCTACAGAAATTACCATTACAGCTTGTTGGCAAAGCCATGCTATGAGGCACCCTGTCATGAAAACTGAGCAACTGTTTAGAAGTTAACGCCCACACGGCATTTTGGGAGAACCAGCAACGTGACTGCTGAGATCTGAAGCCCATGCAGACTGGGAAACCAGAAACAGAAAGCTACAGCTGCTGTAATGGAAATCAGAAAACAGAAGTATAGGTACATAAATGATCTGACAGTCAATGAAATGACATGAAGGATTGTAAAAAAGTGGGACGTAAATGTCCCACATTTTCTATTGCATGGCAATGTGAAGTAACTGGAGTCAGAAACTTGCAGCACTTCAGAATAATGAGAGCTTCCAAATGGAAATGCACCATATGTAACAAATGTACAACACTATAATGATATCAAAACACTTAAAAAGAGCAGTGGCTTAATCTGGATATTCGCATTTCCCATGTAGTTTTGACTTTTGGGAATGAAATTTCTTGGCCTCATTTCCTCACTAGTAAAATGAAGAGTATTCTGAAGATAACTTCATTGCCATTAAAAAAACACTCAGATATCCTGGTGAAAAGAATAACTAATTAGGTACTTAATAATTTTTATTTTAATACAAAATTCAGATTACAAACCTAAATAAAAGAAAATCTTGACTGTTCATCCACTTAATGTCAACAGAAGAGATAGGCTGTAAAATTATATTACCATTTAGGGTTTTATCATAGTATCCAAGACAATGGTAACAAGCTACACTGCAGATTAACAATATTTGGATTTTTATTTTGCTTAAGAAGGTAGTAATACTGTGACAGGCAACAATACCCTCACCTTGACATACTAGCACATTTCCAGCAAATAAAAAAAAGAACAATGTTCATGATTCTTCTGATATGCTTCCTCACATCTGGCAATTAACTATTTTAATTTTAAATCCACTTAAGAAACTTCAAATGCTGGAATTTATGGTCCTAGAGTTCCCATCTTAACATAGCTTGGTCAGTTATTCTTTCTCAAGAGGATAATCTGTATAATCAGACTATTCAAACCACTTCAGTGGTTTGAAATGAACCACTTTATAATGACTATAAAGTGGTTCATTTCAAACTCCGGAGATCAAAGTAACCTGCCCTTTAATGCTTTGCTGTGTAGCAGCCAAGTGCAGAAAGCATTTAGCAGTGGCACCTGTTTGTGCTAATTCAAACTGTCCAAAATCTACTGTACAACCAAACAAAGTAATTTTTTGAAAACCAAAAAAAAAAAAAAAAACCAAAATAAACCTAAACAACAACAAAAAACAAACAAACAAACAAAGCAAAACCAAAAGAAACCCAAACTGAAACCACAAAAACTATGCTCTATCATCTATGATTAATTGCATAACCACATTCATAAACTATTTTATTCTGGCAATTTTTAATCTATGCTTTAGAAGACTGGTGTGTTTAATTTTCAGTAAGGTAAGATACATAAGAAAATTAACACAACTGATAGAATATTCAGTCTTTGAAGGCAACTTTTTTAACATCAAAGACTATAAAACCCTTAGAAATATGATTTCTTTGTAGTGCAGGCTGTGTTGTTACATTCGGAAAGCATACTTCCTTCTATTTGTATTTTTTAAAGTAATCTACTTAAACTAAATGACAGAAGACGTAAAAGAGTAATTATATTCACAGCACAAATTCCATTAGTTAGTCTTAACAGTTTTCTTCCGTATTTTGGAAATGCATATAAAACTCTGAAAGTGAAAATGTTTATTTTAAAAATGAGACAAAGATGAAATACAGTACAAGGAATTATTTGTATGACACTTCACCTGCATGTCTTCCTCCACATATAAGAGACAACTAAATATACACAAGAAGTTGATAGTCATCCTGCTTCTGAAATTTCTGTCCAATAACAGGTATAACAGAAGATTTTAAGATAACAGGCAGAGGAACAGGGACTCTTAGGTGCTTTGAAGAATTGATTATTTTATACATTATAGGCAACCAACCAGGAGAAATTTGTAAAGTAATACCCTTGAAACAAAGAATTAAATATAAAATACCAGTAAGAAATCAAGTTTTAGTACAGAGTTTCTGATGGAAGCATAAAATGCTTCATGAAGGATTCAAAAGAAGAGAAGCATGAGCTACTGAAATGTCTAATTCAGCATGAAAAATTACCTGCTTAGTGACCAGCTGACTTGTATTTTAATGAGTGTATGAGATGCTAATCCTCAAAATTTTACCTATTTATCTAAAGC